TACTCATCGAATGGAGCATGTTCTTATGTATATTGTTGGTTGAAGTGATGTATTTGATAGAGTAGGTCTGACTTGTCTTTCCTTAATCAACTTTGTAAAGTCAACATTTACATTCCCATGGTACCATTTCTGATTACTAGGACATGAAATTAAATTCTATATCATTATAGATCATCTACATTATGATGGTAAAGTTTCAATAGGTGGTCCTTTTTCCAGATTTCCACATATTCATACAAGTTCATACAAGTTGACCCTATGATGGTTGAGGGAAGAAATCTTTAAATATGAAAGTTAAAATAAATTTGATATTCGATGTTTACTCATCAAATGGAACATTTTCATGTCAGGATTCAATATGTTTTCATGAGAAACTCAAAAGTTATTGTTGACCTATTGTACCTCACAACTTCCCTTTTCACTTGATACTATACTTTTATACCTACAGACATGAACTATTGAAATTTCATATGAAAGTGATTATAAATGTTGTTAATGATGATATAAACTATATAATCTCATTAAAGGATTTTGAAATTATCATTCTTCCTATGGTTTCATTTTATAATTTTTAATCTGACATTATTTACAAAGTTAATATTTTATAAATTGAAAAACTAAATATAATACATTGTTCTACTCATCATTTACAATCGAATGTATAATATTCAATAATTTGGGCTAGGGTTTGAACTTTGAAACATTGGGTCTGGTATTTCAATTTTAGGTTCAAAGGTTTAGATTTTTAGGTTTGGGTTTGGGTTTGGGTTTGGGTTTGGGTTTGGGTTTGGGTTTGGGTTTGGGTTTGGGTTTGGGTTTGGGTTTGGGTTTGGGTTTGGGTTTGGGTTTGGGTTTGGGTTTGGGTTTGGGTTTGGGTTTGGGTTTGGGTTTGGGTTTGGGTTTGGGTTTGGGTTTGGGTTTGGGTTTGGGTTTGGGTTTGGGTTTGGGTTTGGGTTTGGGTTTGGGTTTGGGTTTGGGTTTGGGTTTGGGTTTGGGTTTGGGTTTGGGTTTGGGTTTGGGTTTGGGTTTGGGTTTGGGTTTGGGTTTGGGTTTGGGTTTGGGTTTGGGTTTGGGTTTGGGTTTGGGTTTGGGTTTGGGTTTGGGTTTGGGTTTGGGTTTGGGTTTGGGTTTGG